TGTTGTAGCTGTAAATATTGCCATTGGGTTACATCTGATAGATGATATTTATCTCTTAACAAAGGATATGTTAAAAATTAATCATCATCAATCAATTGGTCCAAAGTCCCCACTTCCATTCAATTTTTCCATATCACCATCTTTTTCCCAATGTTTAATGTTAGTTTGCCCCATAAAGTCAATTTAGCATGGGGAAAAAGGATTAAATCTTTTTTTATTAGACATTACAGGAATTTGTTTTTATTTAGCTGACTTTTTATTTGAGGTATTTATAAACTATTTTTCCAAAGCTCAAAAAACCATTCTGTCATTAAAAATGCAGAGTTATTATAGATACAGAAAACAGCTAATATATATTTTTGGCAAAGCAGAGCAATGACAGCTTTGTATTTCTGCAATAGTATGATCCATGGCCCACAACCATTCTTAGTTCATTCTGATGCCAGATTCTGCAACAAGTGTTGAGAGCTTGAACTGAACCTGGAAATGAGTGATATTATCATAAATATCTCACATCATTCATAGCATTCATATGAATATCAGACAGCTCTGATGAATGGGAGCTGGAAGAGAAAATCTAAAATCAATATCTGAAATTGTACTTGAAATGTGAAATCATCTTACTGTATAGGACTTTACAGTATTTAGTGCATCAAATATTTCTGGCAATTACTTTCTGTAATGCCAATGCATTCCAATGCGTTCCTCCATCTCTATATTTCAGAGTCTTCAATGGAGCTATTCAATAATATCTTGGGGGAAGCAAATGGCAAGCCCTCACAGGGAGCAATCAAATTCTGAACTGGGAATTGTTTATTACTTTGCTTAACATTCCCTGCCTTGTAGAAACCAACTTTTTTTACTTGAGTCTGAAGTGTTCCCATCTCAGAATCCCAAGCTTGCCCTCTTCTTATTTTCTTTAAAGTATTTTTGAAGCCTTCTGTATTGAAATAATAGATCAAGGGATCCAGAGTACAGTTCATACTTGCAAATAGCATAGTGATGATAAGGGCATTGCGCACTGAAGCCCGCGTGGATTCATCAGTCTGAATCACCTTGGCTTTGATCATCCCATAGGCTGCCAGAATGGTGTTGTAGGGTACAAAGCAAATGATAAAGATGACCAGATTGACTATAAGCATGCGAATGGTCTTTTCTTGGCGTAGGCTCTGGGTCCCACCAGCCTGGCATAGTTTCTGAAAAATTCGGACTGAGCAGACTGTCACAGAGGTCAGAGGGAGGAGAAAGCCAAGAATCTCTGCTAAAATGACAAGAAAGAAGAGTTCTGCCTGCCACAAGTGTTGACTGAAGCTTTCAAAGCACAAAGTAATTGTTTCATCTTGTTTAGCACATAAAGTTGTCTTGTGGATAACAGCAACTGGAATAGACCCTATCAGAATTAGCACCCAAACGACACAGCAGAGCAGTCGGGCCACTTTGGGGCGCCGGAGATGGCGCCAGCGAAGTGGGTAGACAATAGCAATAAAGCGGTCCAAGTTGATGCACATCAGGAAAAGGCAACTGCCATACATATTTATTTGGAAGAGAGAACCTGAGACTTGACAAAGAAAAGTTCCAAAGGGCCATTCCCCCCTGAAATAGTAGTAAATACGGAAGGGCAAAGATATGGTGAAAAGGAGGTCACTCACAACCAAGTTACACATGTAGATAGCCACCACTGACTTGAGTTTCAGATGGTACAAGAAGATCAAGAGGGATGAAACATTGAGACATAACCCTGCTATGAAGATCAAGCTGTATCCCGTCAACTGCAGTTGGTGAATGCCACTGTAATCTTTGCATGCAGTACGATTGTCAGCTGACATGCCTGGGAATCACCTGAGGTGAAGACTTTGATAGATCTGTTTAAGATACTGGGAGAAGCAGAGATCATAGGAGACCCCAAAAGGGCTTAGAATTCAAGTTGGTGCTCATCATTCTATTCCTTCATTCAGATGGTAGTCCTATCTGACTTGAAATTCCAGGCTTCATAATCCATCAGAGTTGAGGAGGTTTAGGGCCATTCTCAGTCGTAGTACAATGAGTCTAGATGAAAATGATAAAAAGTGTTTTTATTATAGCATTCCCACAAAGAATATTGAATAATGAATAATGTGGTGGGACCTGTGAGTGAGAGAAAAAGCATTAGACTCTCCAAAAATGAAGTGGCACCTAAATTAGAGCCAGTTTGGTGTAGTGGTTAAGGCACCAGGCTAGAAACCAGAAGATTGTGAGTTCTAGTCCTGCCTTGGGCATGAAGCCAGCTAAGTGACCTTCTGCCAGTCGCTCTCTCTCAGCCCTAGGAAGAAGGAAGGGCAAACCACTTCTGAAATCTTGCCAAGAAAACTGCAGGGACTTGTCCAGGTAGTCACCAGGAGTCAACAATAACTTGAAACTGCCAAAAAACAAACCACCCTCAATTTTAGTAACAAATAAAAAATAAAAACAATAAAAAGAGAAAAGAGATATCAAAGGTGACATAGTAAGTTGCTTAGAACATTAAAAAAAAAAGGATATTTCCCCAGATGTTTGTTTTTTTCTACTAATTTTGGAGCTAGCTACATGTTATATGCACCCAGGATTGACACATTCTAAATAACAGAATTATTACATAAGGTGGATTTCAGCTGAGAGCAGGAGGGGAGGAATAGCAAATCTCCACAAAAGGACACTGAAACAGTTTGAAACCAGCTTTGAACTTCTATAGTAATGGCTGATTTTGATAGCTAAATCTGGTTTTCTTTTCTTTTCTTTTCTTTTTTCTTTCTTTTCCTAGCTCCACTGTCATTATTTGAAACCAGAGCAAAGCTGATGTTTCCTTTGCACTGTTGTAGTTCTGCTGAACTTGTGGGCAGTCCATTTCCTTATTTGCAGAAACTTTTGTCTCACTCCTTCCCCCCAGCTCCGGGGCTTCTACTGTTCTAGCAAGTCTTTCAAGGCGAAAGGTGGCTTGATAGTTTTGCAGCCCATAAAGAACTGCTTGGAACAAAAATCGCTACTACCTTAGCAAGAAAACCCTTACCTGCAATCCCTTTCTTTCTGAACCTGAAGGGCTGAGACGTGGGATGAGACAATGGGAAAACAAACCCATCATTTCTCAAAGTTAAAACCAAACAAAACAACCACGTTTTCTGCAATCCCAACTACACAGCAGTGGAGACAAAAATAAATCAGTTCAGGTCTCCAGTGCTGCTGATATTGTGAAAACAAAGAGGTCTGGAGTAGCTTTCAAGCTGGTTCAAAATGGTCATGTAGAAACTTTCCTTGCAAATGCTTTGGAGCCCTTTGGGGAGTTGGCCAAATGGTTTTGTATGGAAAAAAAATTACAGACTCTGGGTTTGTCACCAACCACCAAGTTCTGGAAGGTGAGATTTTTTTTAAACAAAACGTATTATACAGATACTTTAAAAGTGTATAAATGGATATCCTACCTACAAAGTTACTTCTGTTCTTCCAGGTATGTAGAAGAGCAAATAGTTTTATACTTCTAGGTTAGGTGTCCTTGGATGATATACTGGAGAGACGTGGGACATTCTTTGATCTTTCCCAGATCTTTTTCTGCTTGCTGTTATTTGTTCTCTTATTCCTGTATGGAAGAGTGAACTATTGTGAAGAAAACATCTTTTAAAATTTATAGAGACATTTTTGTAAATATGATATGGTTCGTTAGTCCCATGAGATTCAACCAGCATGGAAACACAAGAAACACAGCTACCTTTACTAAGAGCATTTCAGCCCATTTATTAAGTTTTAAATAGACAGCCTAAAACAGTAAAAGAGCCAGTTTGGCGTAGTGGTTAAGGCACCAGGTTGGAAACCAGGAGACTGAGACAAACCAGTTTGGTGACCTTGGGCTAGTCATTCTCTCTTGGCCCCAGGAAGGAGACAAAGGCAAACCATTTCTGAAATCTTGCCAAGAAAACTGCAGGGACTTGTCCAGACAGACTCAAAGGCGTGCACACACACACACGCACACACAAAACCCTTAACTGAAGATGGTATTTCAGTTACTTATATGATGGCTACATTTTGAACTGCACTTGTGTAGCTATACAGAACTATAAAGTTCTGTGTGGATTTATGTGGACCTTGGGAAAAAAGCCAAGAGAACAGTCTTTATGTCATTGCTGTTGTACACGTGGTCATGCACCTGTCCTAAGGTGGACAAATGGAAAGAACAACAGTGCTGTAAAACTTTAAATGTGGAATTCTGATATCAAAGAATAGATTTTGGTCCCTGAACTCAAAGCAGTATAATTATCCCACAGGCAATTTCATATGCTGATTTTTAGACACTGAATTCATTTCAGATTACTTCGAAGACAGCCTGCTATGTGTCTGCTTCTCTGGGAACATACTTCATTTAAATGAATAAAAAAGCAAAGTTAACAGTGTTGGTGAAAAAAAAATCCATAGTTCAAATGTCACATAATTCTGAGTCCACACATTTTTGAGTTCTGTAGAATTCTTCAGCAGCCACTATCACATGCAAAGAACAAATGTAAGCGTTTGTATTTGATTGTAGTCTTAAGATAATGGGTAGAAACAGACATTTAAATTAGATTCTACCGGTACCATGATAGCTTCACGATGCACCTGTTTTTTTCTTAGAATTACTGTGATACGGAAACAATGGCTGATTCCTCATTTCTAAGAAAAACCCATAACAATCAGCTATTATTAAGAACTTTACCTTAAGCAAAACAGAGGGAAAACAGGAAACAAAAGAACGTAGATAATTTTTCATGGTAAAAACATGAGGTCATTTAAAATGATTTGTGGCCAGATTATTTTCCAATGGGGTGAGCAGAATAATATCAGGGCTAGGGCTAGGGCTGGAAATTAGGAAGCCCCATGTGTCCTCAAAAGCTCAGCTGTTGATGGTGTCAATATGTAATGGCAGGAGATGATGGTGGACTGTTTGTTGTCTCCCCCTACATGGGCAAAGTAATCTGTGGAAGGTGAAGCCAAGAAGCCTCTACTCTCTACCTCTCCTACATCAAGCACTTCCCTCCATGCAGGGACAGGCAGGAAGTGATAGTTTTCCACCTCTTCCTGCAGGAAAACCAGCAGAGCCACCCTTACAGGTTCTCCAGATGAAGTATCTGCAAGCACAGCCTTTTCCAGCTTTCATCAGTCTGCTCCTTTGTTGAAGGAGAAAAACAGACTTGCAGGTAGTCCAGATGGAGCACTTGGGACTGTAGTTCTTGCTGCTTGGATCGTGTACTGTAATGCCTTTCCCATAGTGGAAAAGTGAGGGGCATTGAAGCAGAATCAAGCTCTCCAACATTGCAGATATTATATCAAAGGAGGTGGCTTGAGGGCTGTATCATCAAGACTTGCTTGGATGAGACCGAGAAAACTCTGATCACTGGGGTTTCCATCATTTAGCAAGAGGCAGAGACCGAAGAGTTAACTGTGGTGTCTTGGCTATAGTGCTGAAGTCCTGCTGATTTGCTGTGCTGGCAGTGGACTTCAAAATACATGCCAGGAATGGTTTATGACTTCATAACCTAATTAGAAGCCTTTGGTCTGTCCCAATCATTATCTTGTCACACTTACACAAGACGACAAAGGTTAAATCTGGGTTTTTATATTACATGGCATAATAATGACTTGATATTATTCATTGATTTTAAATAGATCACAATTTGATGGGGTTTAGACTTAGTTTTAGAGCCTCTGTAGTGGCTAACAGATCTAAAGGCTTTCCCGATCACTGCATTTGATGAAATGAGCTGCAGCTCATGAAAGTTTAAGCCTTTTTATAAAATTTGTTAGCTGGAAAAGATGCTACCAGACTCCTGATATTTTTGCCACCATAGACTAGCATGACTCTCTTCCCATCTGTTCACTAGGAGGAGTAATATTCTGCTGAATATCACTTCTCCTAGTGAAGGAGGTTACTCTGCTGATTGCAACAGGAAGATGGATATCTGAAATGGGAGAAAGTTGATATCATCTCACTTGAGTAACCTCTTGCTGAACAGAGCCCAAAGGACTCCCAGGCTTTCAGGAAGTTGACATGGATAAAATGAGAGGAAAAATAGCTAGAGGGGTGGAAAATCTGGAATGAATCCAATTGAACAGGAGGTTGGGCCCACTTGAAGGGTACAGCATGATAGTGACAGGTGGGAAGGAGGGGTGAGCAGTACATCAGTTGTCAGGCCCCCTAATAATAATAAAGAAGGCTATTTTCTCAGGTTTATTACAAGGAAAAAGGAAGTAGCTTACAAAATCTTGAAAGCTAACTTGATCTTGGGAACTAACTTGGTGAAGCCACCTTTTCATCACCAAGTACTTTAAGGTGGTTCCTTCTTGATGTTTCTGATCCTCTTTCCATATCTTGATGTAAGGAAGAGCTGGTCCCTACTTATGAGATACAAATGGAATGTTCATCTGTTCTTATTTTGCCAGGTTTTGCAAATGCTTATTCTTGTTTCCAGGTTCAGTGAATTCCTTTAAATAAGCTCCCTCCACCATGTAAGATACAGGGAGAGAGGCTAGTTTGAAAGAATCAGACTTAAATATGGAAGGGGTAACGTTTGAAACAGGTCTTAATAACTGATCAGATCAACACTTTAAGGAAATACACCACTTTGATTTGAGTAAAATATGTTACCTATGTTGCTGTATGTGACTTTGTAACAGCCTGTTCCCATGTATGTTTGAGGATGATGATGATCATGCTAAATCCAGTCTAAACATTTGACTGACTATGCGATCAACAATAATTTTCAAACTTTTTCAAGCTGTGGAATATGTTAGTAAAAAAATACTAATTTTCAGAACCCAAAGCTCTAGTGATAGAAAATTGGCTGCATTTGAAGGAGCTATTTTTGTTTTGTTCTTAGTCTCTCACAAAATCCAGTTTGCAAAACCCTAATTTATATAATACTCTAATGTTCTATGTGAACATTTTTCCAATATGGCGATGCAGCAATGACGAAGCTGTCTCTGTGCTGGACTTGTGTTTGCCCTGCAGCAGTACAAGAGAAATTCGGTCCAAATTAAAAAGAGCAACCATCTTTGAGGAAAGGATTGACTAAACCTGAGCAGAACCCTTTTTCAGTTTCGTGCACAAAGTTGTCTATAAGTATGGACAAGCACATTACCCCAGGGTAATCACTACTCATTTCCACCAACTGGAATATGGGGAGGGGGCCAAATCAGCAAAATCAGATACGAGCCCTGAAATCTCTGAGTTTACACCTTATTCTCTATTCATATTACACATCTTCTACCACAACATACTTAAGACTGCCTACTGCCTTTAACAATTGTTTCATTGCAGAAACCATATCTCAAACATAATTATACACAAATGGTTGCATGTTGGTTCGGGCCAGATGAGAAATTTTGGTTTCAGGTTTCTATTTGTGGCAAGATATTGAGGGTTTTTCTCTTTCCCCGTCACCCCAATTTGTTGACTACCTTATTGATACCAGAAAGGTTTAACTACCATTTATCAGCATCAGATCGAATCCCGTAACCATTTTCTATCCACTCCATGTGCTTTACCTCTCCCCTCGTGTAGGTTGGTGGAGTTACTGGCTTCAAACGTCCTCTGCTTACCACTCGCAGCAACTGAAGAGATGTTGACTCATCAGCAAAAACTCAAAGAAATATCACAAGCAGTAAAAGAATGAGAGACAGGCAGCAAAATTCTCAGTTCCACAAACTTCCCTAGATCTGTCCAACTCCACTTCCGCTCTAACTGTTTCCATTTTTTTCTTCAGATGCATCACTTTGCTTTTTTGTCTCCTTTCCATTCCATTTTTTTCAGCCTCTCTCCATGATGCAACCAACTTGGCATTGGCACAAATGTTCATTTCAGTAGCTAATAAGCCATGCTAGACTTTTCATTAAGGCAAAATGAGAGTGAAAGAAGCAGCAACTGTGGACATGTGACAAATAAGGAAGTGGGCTGGTGAAAACTTGTACTTACTACCCCCCCCTTCTCATTTCCTCAAATCTCTATCTTACCTTGAGTAGGGAAGAGTGCAGAGCAAAGCAGAAAAATTAATCATTAGCCAATATCTGCCAGCAACCCTTGAAATCAGTCTTGGGAGTATTCACTAGATGGATATGTCACACAGAGCATGTTATACCAGTGTCCCAGCTTTTACACTGCCTTTTTGTGGTCCTTCTGAAATAATGTGAGGTGTTGTTCCGCACTTAAGAACTTTTCACATCTTGTATCTGTAATACTTCAAGATTACATTCTCTCCTTTATCCAAGTAGTGAGAAGGCCCAAGATGTGCTGGGGCAGATAATCCAAATGATAAAGCCAATTTTATTAGATTTATAATACAGAGACCTGGATTCAAATCCTCATGTATTAATAAAGTTTCAGTGATCTTGGCTGTTCATGTACTATGCTAAGCCAAATTCAACAAAGTACATGATGGCCTCGTGTGCTGTGTGAATTCAGACTTGGGCTTTGTTTGCATGTTGCACTGAGCCACCATTTAATAATGGTTTGGTGATTAAATTATGGATGGTTGATTATAACTGCACCATAAATGATGGTTTATAAACCACGGTTTATAAACCACAAGAGCTGGGTTCATACAATACGCCAAGCTAAAACCAAAGAAGCCACAATTTTGCTTTGTATGATGTGTGACTCAGACTGAGATGGAAGAAAAAAAGGGGTCAATTTAGGATTCAGTCTTAATCTGGCTTACATGTACTCCCAAAGGAGTTCACCGGTCTCCTCCTGCCTGTAAGTGGGACCCAACCCAGAGCTGTTCCAAATGAGCTATTCCTACTATTCCCCAGTCCTGCTGTAATAATGCAGTAATCAATCATTTTATGATGAGAAACATACTCTTGTTACTGTCCTGACCTGTATTCTTCAACATTACATCTTATTTATTATGTTCTAATGCTTACATTAACAAGGCACTTCAAGAAAACATATCTAAACAGGACCAAGTCCTTCTCTGTATGAAGTATTCAGTTCTGAGTCTTAGAGGTAGGACTTAAGAAAAATTACTGCTTAATTTGACTGTTTTAATGATGGCTTAGCAAGGCTGAGCTCCAATCTTAAATATCAGTATTTCAGTTCTACCCAGTTTTCTCTGCAGTGGTTACATCTTCCTGCTCTAGGCAACCACATGTGCTTCCGCTCTTCCTTCCAGCCACAGTCCAGACAGCCATTGCATCTAGACAACCACACTGCATTGCATTGCACTCAAATAATCAGAATCCAGAACGCCATTGCATGGCTATTGGTAGCTGGCTTCCCAGATATTTAAACACACTCATCAAATGAGTTTGGGGACTTGGGGCTGAGACACAAAGGAGGAAGCCCAGGCTCCATGAATCCCACCAGCAAGAAATGCTGTTGGGAATGGTATGTTTGCAGGTGAAGGGGGCAGATGCATTCACTCAGGGGCAAAGGCTGAGACAGAGCAGAATCTGGGACAGCAGCTGGTCTATGAGTGAACAGGGAACTGCACCAGCCCTCCCCACCTGCAAAGTATAGAGACAGAGCTAGGCAAATCATTCAAAGAGATGCTTCACTTCAGTGACATGCCTCTCTCGATCTGCTTCTTCACACCACAAAACAACCACAGAACTTGGGAGCTTCAAGGAGCTGTTCCAGAAGAGCAACTTGCTCAGAACTGGAGCACCTTGTACAGCCTCATAACAAACATTTAGAAGACAATGGGATGCACATATCAGGGTTTTATGATTCTAATATTAAAATTGCTGGTTATAACTTTATTTCTGATATACTGATAATTTGGATAATCTTGTTTATTACTATATTGATAGATATATAAATTGCTTATAAGCTGCTTAGAATCTGGCAACTGAAGTGGCATCAAAGCTTTTGTAACAAATAAATATGAGAGAAGCCTGCAGAAGCTCCTCTGGCACCCAGGTGGTTATTATCATTGTTATTACTTCTATTGCTACTACTAGTTAATTGAAAGTATATATTGTCCCAGGCAGACAGTGTTACACTAACAAGATCCCTTGCAACATCTCCCACTCTGTGAATAGACCAACCCATTAATACAATATATAAAAGACAGTAGCCTGGCCTCAACAACTAGGCGCCAGGCTTCAAAGATCCATTTACAAAGAAAGCTTTTGAAAGCTCTCCTAAAAACCAGAAATGAGGGGGCTGGGGAGCACTATGTTCCAATATGTTGGGGCCACCAATGAGAAGGCCTGCCTTCCAGCCCACGGACCTCTTACTTTTCATAGGGTGGGACCTTGAGCAGATCTCTTGTGATGACCCGACAGGACAGATTCATTCTAGATGAGGCAGGCCTTAATGTAACCCACTGCTGTGCCATGCAGGGATTTAGAGGTGATAACTAGCACTTTGAGTTGGGCCTGGCAACCAGTGCAGACCCTGTAACTTTGGTGTCATTCTGTGATACGAGGTTCTACTTGCCAGCCACCTGGCCATTGCTATGAGAACCAATTGTAGCTTCAAAAGCAGCCCCACATTGCAGTAATCTAGTAATGGTGATAAGGACATGAGTTACTGTTGCCAAAGCCTCCTAGCTGAAGATCAGGCATATCTCTTCCTTTCTTTTTTGTAATGCAGCTGAAATATAACACCTATACTTGAAATCTGATAGGGCACAGTCCATTTTACCAATTGTTCTATTGAAAGTTGCCATCAGAACCCCATGAAGGGTCAATTAGGATTTCACAAAACCTAATTTATTGGTGCTGGCATGTGGGTCTCCCCCACCATCTCCCTTGGCTTCCTCTTTGTAAGTCTCTTTCTACTGGACCTTCTTTTTTCTTATTTGTCTTTCTCACTCTCTCTGTTTCTTGTTGTACTGACACTATTTTCTTGGGGATATATGTTCTATTGACACTTTAGGAGATCTCCCCCCCTCTCCCACTCTCTATATATTTGTATTTCACTGCCACCTATACATCTTGAAATGATACAAAGTTATTCCAACCAGTGAGCTCATCCAATTTCATTTTAGTACCTTCTTTCCTAAGCCAATGGGGTTCTGTGATACCTTGTTTTTCAGGATGATTGTTCTTCTACTCTGCAGTTCCTTTTCAAGAATACTGATCCATGAAAGTTTTGAAGAGCACACACTGCCAAAACTAATCTCTTTCCATGGAAGTTTACAAGAAGGCAGTTCTGGTGATAGATTTCTGAGATGCCTTTGGGAAACTCAGAAGTGGAGAATATAAACTCTCTCCACCATCTATTCATTCAGAGATAAATTACATTTAATCTTATTACTAATAATCTTTGGCAGACTGATCCCAACTTAATAAGTCAAATTCTTTTTTTAAAAACTTCCTAAGCCTGTTGTTAGGATATTCTTGCAACATTAAAGTCTGTAACTAAGCATTGTCTAGGAAAAAAGAACATTTCTTCCCTCTCCTGAATCTAGACTACTGTTAATAAATTTTATTGAAATAATTTTATTAACTCTTATATTTCCCTTTACAATATCCCTACAAAGTTGTCTGTTTATTTATGGATTTATGTATCATTTCTCAAAACAGATTTTCCAAGGCATCTTATTTTTAAGGCCGATGTCTAAAAAGTTCAGTCTAAAATAATAGGATGAAATGAATCCAAATACTTTCTGGGTAGGGGGACATGCCTCCCCCCCCCCTGGGCAAATGACTAATCTGTGGCAAGATTTGAACCTGGGGTGTCCTGTTTCTTGGTTCCAACTTTTACCCCCCAGTGACACCCCCCCCCAAAAACAGCACAACGCTTGCATTCCCACTGGACGTCTGCCAAAAGAAAGTGTGAAAAGAAATTGCAACAACAAAATGTCCTGGTTTCTGGATACACAAAGGCGCGGAATTAATTGGCTTCAATCAACAATTAGCACGAGTCCCCCAGTGGCTTCAACTTGCCCTGAGTCTGAAAAACTGGAAGCTAACGGTGGGCGATGCATTTTGTTGAGTTCTAAGCTTAAGTATATTTGTGCTCTGAATTCCATACTCAGATCGTCCTACCTCTCAGATTCTTGGAGCTCCTAAGCAGTAAAGTTGTGCCGTTGTAGAAAAGTGTGGGACTGGGAGCTGCGCGGCCTGGTCTTAACTCCTTCAGGAAAGGAACAGGAATGCTGAAGCTTCGTGAAGCCTTTCTCTGATCTGGCAGCAGGTAAAACCAGACTCTTGGGGTGTGTCCGGTGTGCTGGGAGCTGCAGATCCAAACAAGTTTCTGGGACTATCTGTTTGATATTTGCAAATAATAATGATCAGCTACAATATCATATGGAAAGATATCCTCTGACATTTCATGGATCAGAGTAATTTCCTTGTCCGGAAGCATGCCTCTTTTTCTCCCCATAAATTGCTGCGCTTTCCTCTCAGACAGATTATCTGACAAACAACAATCCTAATTAATTAATTTCTATCCTGCTGCAATCTTGTGACTCTGGTTCAGTGTCACAATAGAAACAACAACCAAATGGAAGCAATTTACAATCCAGATTGCAAAAGCAAAACCAAAGCAGGAGAGAAAAATACAGTAATAAGAACAACCAAAGGCGCGGGTGATGCTACTGAAGGGCTCTGTTTTTAATAACTAAAAACTACCAGGGAGGGGCTAGTAGGTACTCAGTGGGGAGCTCATTCTACAGTGTTGGTGCTGTATGGAGAAGCAGCGCCTTCTATCTTCAGCTCCTCTGACAACTCAGGGGAGGAGTCCCTCCCTACTTGCTCTAACCCAGAGTTTCTCAACCTTGGCAGCATGCAGGCTGGGGAATTCTGGGAGTTGAAGTCCACACATCTTAAAACTGCCAAGGTTGAGAAACACTGCTCTAACCAGTTGGAGGAGCCAGTCCCATGGGTGCCCTGTTGCCAAGCCATGCAGGGCTTTGCAGGGTAACAGCACCACTTTAAATTGCTTTTGGAACTGAACCTGTAACCAGTGTAAGACC